CAGCTTCTGGCAGAAAACCACCAAATTTCTCAGGTTTGAAAATTGTTGGAAACACAACTGATAATTTAAGAACAAAACTCAACAACATATTTAATGTAGGTCCTGTTATTTTTAGATATTTTAATGCGTAAAAGTTATGTTTTATCTTTCAAATAAAAGAAGTGTTCCACATTTCTGTATTTAATCACAGTCTAAGTTCAGGTTTGTTACGTTATATTTCCTCTACTACATCGATAAATATTCTACTTTTTACTTTCAACACTACCTTCCTTGTCAAACTAAAGGAGAAACAGAACTGAACAACTCTGTCTTCGCAAAAATCAGGTTCCTATAAAACTTAACTGAATTCTCGATTACGCTTCGAGGAAAACGTATTGTGTCCCGGATTACAGCTAAAGTTTTTAAACAGTTTAAAACGTTAATGTTGTAAACTGAAACCAAGCAAAGCACACTACTAAAGTACTTGATTATGTTTGTAAAATAAATCATGACTTAGAATTACTACAAAATTGAAACTAAACAAAAACGTAACAAATACGAATAGTTTCACGCAGGACACTGACGGATGTCTCCTGGGTGAAAGTCCTGTGTTTTTTGACCCATCCACCCCGACCTCTTCCTTTTGTAGACTTCCACAGACTTATTTGTGATACATCAAAAGAAAACCTCAGAATCTAATTCCCCAGGCAGTTTCATTGCATAGGAACTTAATTTTTAGGAGACGGGGGCCAGACTGAGACACGCTCTCATGTTTCTGAGGTTTGACCTCGTCGTCTCCAGCGGTCGCTTCCTGCAGCTCTGCCTTTATGAATTTATGAATGCGTTAAAATCACATTCAAACTGGAAAAGTAGGCTGAAAAGAAGCTGCTCGGTTTACAGTCCAGATCTGCTCGATTCCATATTATTGTGCACTGCGTGACCGTTCTTATTCAATCTTGGAAATACTCATTTAAAGAAAAACAGTGTGCTTTGTGGTGCTGAAAAAACAAATCTGATTATCACCTTTTAATCTGCTGAGTGTATTAGTAACCCTCTCCCACTGTGCTTGACAGCGACAGAGCAAAATATACAATCAGCATCCAGTCTGCCTGCTTGTGTGAAACCTCCACTGATTCCATGTTTCCCTCATTAGTGTGCAGCGTGCGGACCAGGTCCATCTGCCTCCCATTAAGAGTGGCAGCCAGAGAGGCTCGACTCGCTCACACAGACTCAACTGACGCAGCCCATGAGAAAGCCTCTGTTAAAAAAAAAAAAGTTTCCCGTTGTTACCTTGGTGTCATGGAAAGTTGTCGACCGGAGAGGTTTTCTTTCCCTGAGCAAGACTGACACCTACAGGTAGAGCTGGGAACAGCAGAGGGAAACTGACAGTGAAAACATGTAAAGTTAGGTGAGCTCCAGTCCTTTAAAGTCATGCTTTTGTCTTGGTAAAGTCACTTTTAAACATTTTAGATATGTAAAGATATACAGAGGAAGTGAACAGTTGTGAATTCCTGGGAATCAGCATCACACATGAACAAGAAAGCTCATAAACGGCTGCATTTCTTAGGGATGAAGGCAGCTTTGACACATTTTCTCAGAGATAAACGTTGGTGTCTGATGTTTGTTTCTGCAGTCCATCTTTTTTTATACCGTAAATTAAGTTCTTGTTAACTTCAACAGAGGAGCAATAGAACATTACAAACTGTTGTGAGATTTTCATTCTTTGTACCCATCTGCTGAGCATCAGTGATATTGGTGACAAGAGGTGCCTGCAAAGAGCTCAAAGGATATTAAAAGACAAGACACCCTGCTGCCGTCTGGAAAGAGATACGGAAGTATCAGCAGCTGAACCACCAAACTACACAGCAGCTTCTTCTGACTCCTAAATGCATCCTCCTATGACTAACATATGATATTGTCTTTTTTTGTGTTTATTTATGTAGCAAAATGGGACTACAATCTGCATGTTGTTGTGCAACCGTGCTGTACAAAGACAATGAAAATATCCTTGTAATATAAGTGCCTCACGGGGAAATAAATCAATTAACTGTTTATATAAAGAGCTTTCAGGAGCCCTGACGTACTGCCGTACATACTAAATGTGACAGTTAATTCCATCACCTAAAGGTACTGAATTACTTATTTTTGACCTTACAGGAATGAATATTGCGAGCCTTCTTAAAGCGGCTCACGCTCACTCACACAGGTGTTTTCAGTTAATCTGATTGGACCTCTGCTCAGGTTGATTTGAGGGCTCTCTCTCAGACATGTTGAAGCCTTTATGAACACTTTCCATAAGACTTTGGCCGAGGAAATTATTATTTACTATTGTTATAACCCATTCGTATTCACACCATTTTAAGACCTCGCAGCTTCTCACACTCAACCGTTTACCGGCTGACGTCAGTTTAAGGTCTTAAGGGGGACACTGGGTTTAGGACAGAGTCTCTAAATGTTGTATTATATTAAATAGTAAACAATTAAGGGATTGTTTAAAGTGGATTGAGTAAATACTCTGAAATGTATTGATTAAATTCAAGGGGGTTTGACATGATTTAAATAGAGATTGATGTAAATCTGAGGGTCTCAGTCCTTCCTATCATGCAATCAAAAAAATAAATAAAATCCCAACTTGTCTTCTCTCCTGATTGGCGACTAAAAGTCCTTAGAGGAAGATGTTGAGTTTCTTTTTTCCCTGCTTCGTTGAGAGTATCGTCAGGTTTTCGTCCAATAGAAACAACCCTCTCTGGTCCAGATGAGTGAACCCAGATGTGTGCAGCTGCACGTTCCGGTGACTCATCGCACTCTCTTGAAATATGGTAGCGCGCTGCCGCTGTGTAATCGTCACATTCTTGCATTGTTTGATGTCCATGAGAATGAGCGGAGGGGTTGTGCAGTGCACGTGTTGATTGAGTGTACTGTACTGCGTTTACATGTGGTGCAGCTCTCAGTGTTTGGACTCACACGAGCTCTGTGGAGGAAACATAGTTCTGCCTCTGTGCTGGTGTTTACATTGTGTCAGGATCTGCTACACTCTCAGGGTCTGAGCGACGATCGCGGAGGTCTTGATCTGTGTGGGATCCAAAATAATACAAACTCTTTCTTACAGAGAAAGTGAGAGTTTCACACTTTTAGTTTTTGTAGCAGCTTGGGTGTGTGTCGATCCAACGTGCGTCTCTATGTAACAGTTCAAATATTAGATGGATTCACAAGACATTTCATACTTGTGTTCTAGAGAGTTCCTCCACCACCAACAGGTATAACGTACCCTCGTAACTGTTCACTGGATATTTTTCCGAAAAGATAGGAGTATGAATTCGAGGTTGAGAAGGTCCGGCAACACAAGCGAGCACTTCGCCTTCACAAGTTGTTTAAGCCACAAAACTACTCAGTTAGGTTTAGAAAAGGATCGTTGTCGGGTTCAAATAAGTACGATAGTTACGTTACATTAGTTAAATACGTACATTAGGCTACAAAAGTGAGGTAAAACAAGTTAACGTGGACTTTTAGTTTCACCACAGACTGTATATAAGAAGTGGATGTAGTCATCGTGACGTCACTCATTGGTTTGTGGACCGATATTTTGAAGCCCCGAGTTCGGCGATTTCGCCGATCGTCGCCATGTTTTTTCTTTTTGTTTATACGTAGCTTTTTAGTTTGGGTAGAATCCAACGATGTCTTTGTTGATCCAGTTCGTTAGCTAGATACCATATCCACATCACGCTGTGTTTGCGTGCCGTTTCGTTTCATAACTGGAAACAAACTGAAAGTTAACGAAACGGGCCAAAACAAAAACAGACTCTCTGAGCGAATTGGAAATTTCAAAGGAGGACGCTTTGAAGCCAGCGTTTATATCTTAACATGCTTCTTTAATCTGTGATGACATATCATAGTCATTGTCTGATGTAATGCAGTAAATATATTGCTTTTTTTTTACCACGATTGAAGAGGTTCGCTGGTTTTAAAATGTGAGGTTTTGAAATTTAATATTTTTGGGTTTTGGGGGTCAAACAAACACAAGACTTTCACTCAGGAGACAGCTGTTGGCGTCCTGCGTGAAACCCAGATGGCAACCTCCGGTTCTGCAGAGTGAACCCGATGCTTCATGTGTTAAACCTGCATTCTCTCTAGTGACCACCAGGGGGCGACTCCTCTGGTTGTATAGAAGTCTATGAGAAAAT